GTTACACACGTGCTGAAATGACAAACATTCTTAATGACTTTATATTTAATTTTATCTCTGTCCATTTGATGCATCTTTCTATGTATATTTGTAAAGTATACACATTGGTGAATAATATACTGAAGAAATTAGTTGGTCTAAGATTGAAATTGACAAAATACATCCAGCCAAATTTACCACCATTCTTTGAGATTTTAAGCACTGTTTCCAAACAAAATCAACAACATGCACGTCAGCAACAAAATAGTTCCTTTTTTGTATAATATATCAAAAGGTTGGTAGATTAATGATACATCGCAAGGTTGGTTGATTAGTGATATATCGAAAGGTTGGTAGATAAATTATATATCGAAAGGTTGATAGATTAATGATATATCGAAAGGTTGGTAGATTATTGATATATCGAAAGGTTGGTTGAACTACTCCCCTCTGACGGTTGTATTACATATATGAGTTCTTCTTGTTTTACTTTACACTTACCGCTTGCAGGAAGTATCTGAAATGGTTTTACCTCGAATTTACATCAAAAGGATATCTTAAATAACGAGTCTGATAAAGTTTTATATTTGTGTTTGATACATTTTCAATATTGTAATCCTATTCTAATGAAGCATCTTGTAATTTTTATATTCTTTGAATGCCGTGTTTAATTTCATTTACATTCACAACGTCGGAAAGAAGGTTGTTGTTTAGTTTCCACAAAACCTTACCTCAACTAATGTCATTATAACATAGGCTTAATATCATCATAGAGTGGTCAGATATCTAACTTAGGTCTTTTGTTACTTTTTCACATTTGGCATGGGAAACTCTATTTGCAAATAAATATCTAATCTAATCTAGTTTGCTTTAAAGTATTATTTCTCCTACCTGTATATCTCGATGGATAGGATTTAGTTCTCTAAATGGGATTACAACAACAAATTTATATTGCGTACTCATTAATACATGTACAGCGTTACCATTATTGATATATTTATAATAAAAATTCTATTTAAGGATCCATGGCTAATTGAAATCACCACAAATGATATTAGAATCATTTACATATTCACTTACATCATTTATCGTATTGTAAAACTCTGGATAATCATTATTTGTCTCGTAGATATTAATTAGAGAAAATATGTTTTGTTATTGTTGAATGAACTGCAAACAAATTACATTCAGGTTCTTTGTTGCTTTTCTTTACATCGTATTCAAATTGAGGTTTTAGTTGTGGGACTGAGGGTGGGGTGCTTCCAATATTTATTTAAATTATTGTCAAAGTTCTACCCAGGCTCGATTTTGGTTGGATGTTGATTTATTGAAAGTTACCTGTACAACTCTGAGCCTCCAGTCAGCAATGCAGACGATCAAATGAATCAAGACACAAAAGGGTGAAGTTAAATAATAACATTTTAGTAAAAATTAAACGGTCAATAATTCGAATTTCCCAAAATGCACTTCTTCCGCTCTACCCTTTAATAGAGTATCGAATCATTTGATTCGTAGTGTGAGAAATTTTCATCTGTCTTTGTGGTCTACTCATCTGTGTATTCTTGTTCTACTCTTCTGTGTCTTTTTCTCTATCTCCTAATTCTCTCTCTTCCCTCCAAGTTCCTTCTCCTCCTGTATTTCCTCCTCCAGATTGCTTTCATCTTCTTCCATTTTCTGTCCATCATCTCTATGTCGACCACACTTTGTCGACTCCGACTGCTCTGCCAGTGTCACCTCTCTCTCTCTCAAACTCTGTCTGTCTGTCTGTCTGTCTGTCTGTCTCTGTCTGTCTGTCTCTGTCTGTCTGTCTGTCTGTCTGTCTCTGTCTGTCTGTCTGTCTGTCTGTCTGTCTCTCTCTCTCTCTCTCTCTCTCTCTCTCTCTCTCTCTCTCTCTCTCTCTCTCTCTCTCTCTCTCTCTCTCTCTCTCTCTCTCTCTCTCTCTCTCTCTCTCAGAAACTAGGGACTACGAAACTTGCAAAGTAAGTTCTATCTCCCGAAAAGCTTTCTGTGAAAATACAAGGATGGTACACTATTTTCCTCAGCTTTCACATTTCACACTACTCACAGCCTATCGTCGGATAACGGCTATTAAATTTCACCGGTCACGCAATCATTCACACCGCAATACGCATACATTCTTGTATGGTAAAACACAACATAATAAACACAACACAACAAAACAAAAACACTGTATCAATTACTCGTATACATACAACAATAAATTATTTATCATTATTTCATAATCTAATCCCATTTTACTGACAATACCACAATAATCAGATGAATCTCTTGCATTATACGCATACAAAATATACAAATATTCATGCCCTGATATATTAACATATGTACTGTAACTATGCTTACATACTTCAATCATTTTCCTAAACTCCAGTTCAACAAATATGCATAAACCGTAACATAACACATTGCTAAATGTACTGATTGCTACGAAGTAACCTACTAGCGAATTACAATGTTAGTTCTGACGAGCTAACAATCTACATAATTCTCTACAAACCTCAAATACATATCTCAAATACGCATATAAATGAAATACTACAAGTAATTATACTTGCTAAAACAATTCCAGTAATTAAGCATACATACTACCAATAATTACGATTATGACGCCGTACTGTTTTGCGAAAATCAAGCAAATAACTTACTAACCTTTTCGAAGCTTTTCCTTCTCTTTCAATTCTAGTCCTAAGATTTCCTCAAAATTATGAGGGGCTTCCACCAGGAGTATCAGTACTTCTAATAATCTATCCAGGTATACTGATATAATTCTACTTCGAGTCTGAGCTATAATTCCGAACTAGGATTTAATCCCGCCCTCTCTCTTAATTCTAAATGGAGGTCACCGTGGATTGACCTTCACAGCTGGTCGAGACATAATGCATCTATAGGTTTAATTCATGTAGAAACAGCCATGTAGAGTTTTACAAACACAACGTTTCTGAGTTTAATTTGATTGTTTTGTATATGTTTTGTATATACCTTTGAAAAAGACTTATTAAGGGTCGAAAGCGCTCAGGCTAGTTAGATACTAATTTTGCACTATTCGTCGTCAGTTTATTGCATCTATCTTAATCAATCCCTGATACACGGCATCCCCTGCTATATCCAATGTATTTCGCTTTGACATTGACTTTGCAACATTTTGAATTGTATGTTAGTTCAGCTTCTTTTCCGAATAGCTTATAATGCCCATATTTTCTATATCAAATTATATAAAATCAGAGAGTATTAAGGTGTTGTTTGATGTTGCCTGAATGTAATATTTATATCAGACACATCACCAGAGACGTCAATCTGATGTATAGGAAAATTATATTGCTCCGCCTATATTTTGTGTAATTTAGAAGACTTCGCCTTGTATAATTTTAAATCACATGCACATTGGGCTAATAGGTAAAATAAAGGTTAAATCAATAAATCTTTATCTTTATGCGAGGAGGTGTTATGTATATTTAATTTAATTTGTATTATTTATTGGCTTTTCTTAATGATTATATGTTGTATACATTTTGAATTTGTACCTGACCGTGTCTGAAATCAAGTTAACTTTGTACAAGTCAAGGGACGCGTATTTTGTAAACAATATAATATAGCGTGGTATGTATATTTAATCTGTATTGCTAGTTAGCTTTGTTTATTCCTTATTAGCTGCGATTTAATCAAAATTTATCTTGCATCTGACCTTGCCCAAAATCTATTTCATTGTGTGCTTTCATTGTTCGAGACTACAGGCAAATCGACACATTCAATATTGGAGCTTATTGGGAATACCACTGGAATTCATTTGGAACTTTATACATTTGGACTAGTGATAATAGTAGCCTATTTGGGATTTAATTAACAATACTGTAACTTATGTTTTAAATATTCACTTTTCATTCTGGAAAAAATATTTCTTGAAATTTTCAAACCTTTATGGTTTTTCTCAATTTTGTAACTTAACATACGATCTTAGAGTCTTACTACATGCTTATATATTTTTTTGGGTGGGGGCGGAAGGTGGAATGCATCGATTGAAAAATATGAGTACGTATTTACATAAGTCGTAAATTTAGTCGTACACATGCATCATCAGAATTATCCTCCCCTAACCCATTCTCTCTCTCTCTCTCTCTCTCTCTCTCTCTCTCTCTCTCTCTCTCTCTCTCTCTCTCTCTCTCTCTCTCTCTCTCTCTCACACACACACACACACACACGATTAAGAAAAATTTTGGTTAATTCTAATTTCATTGAAGCTGCTCTTATATGGTCAAAATGAGAGCACGACTCACTCAAGCCTCGACATCTTGAAGGAGATTTAATCTTAATGCTGTGTTCGTTTGTGTGGGGTGAAACTATATATTGTTTATAATTGCTATTTGTTTAACGCCTGAATAGTGTTATGCAAGATGTGTCAATCGGCAACAGACAGTTCATACCACGACAAACTGATAAAAAGACAACATTAAATTCTTACTATTGCAATCCTTTATAATTTTATTTATTCTTTTTTTATTTTGTGTTTTAAAGATATGTCCTATCAGTTTTTGAGCCCTATTAAATATATAAATTCTGGTTGATGGAGTCTGCTATTTATTGAACAGGAGATTCTCCATCTGTAACGTAATAGTTTCGTCAGCATCGAACAAATGGTGAAAAATGATAGGACATCTTAGGTTTCAAACATTTTTGAGCTTGGTCGTATCACTTTATTCAGATTGACATATGTAATGTGAGTAAAGTGCAATATTCAAAGCAAAAAATGTGTTCTTTTGTTTGACATACGAACGACTCTTGGATTTGATGCTTTCATGAATTCATTGTGACTATATTAATGTTATTGTCCGGTGTTTGTGATTTGGATTTCGAGCGTAGCTTTTAAAAACTTTTTAGTCATTTCACTACGATATCTGCAGTATGGCAGTTTATAGTGATATCTAGCACTGGAGTATCATGCCGCAGACATACAGCATGATGTCCCACCAAGTCACATTATCCTGACACCAGGCCGACAAGTACTATTTTTATGCCGGGGTTTGAACCCACTACATTCTGCATTCGAGGCTGAAGCTCTAACCAGTAGGCTACGAGAGCAGTCCTTACTGTTCATACACGTGAGTAACCACTTATCATTGCTTTGAATCAATTTTCATATTCATTAACAGTTTCGGTTACCTAGCAGGATTACTTGCAAATTAAATTAAGATTATTAATAGGGTGGAAATAGTGATAGAGGTCCAATAGTCCAACAACGGTATGCATCGACCCTGATAGTTCTGATGAGATAGTAGCGTGATTTATAAACCACCTATCCGCCCCATCGTAGTTATCAGGGTCAGCGTCTTACATTGTAGGATTGTGGATTCAATTATTATAATATTAGTGTTTTAGTGTTTGCACCTTATGACCTCCCAATCGATATATTCTAGTTTAAAATCCATTTGCTAGGGCCTCATCTGCAATGAAAGTATTGTAGCCCTTTGTTCTTTTGGCAGATTTTGAGTTTACCAAATGTTTTTGCAAATCTAGTGAAGGAAGTATTTCTCTGCAGAAAAACTACAAAGATTTTTTTTGATTCAGTGAATCATTTTGTTAAAGTTTCCAAATAAACCATAACCCAATGTTTTTAATACGTTTAAGGGTATGTGGTGTATGTCTTCCGCTTCAGTGGTTATATTATTGACTTTCCATTTGACTTCGTTGATGAAATTTAGTATAAAGTAGTTTTCCGTACAAATTGTACAGAAATAATCACAACTGACTCTAATTAAATGGTAATGTTCTGACGAATGGAATTCTTCCCTACACTTACCAACTGATGCAGTTATTGCCCTGAAAGGGGCTGTGTTTGACGTTTGTTCCCGCATATCCTGTGTTATGAAAGCATCAAGATTCTTCGCCTCCAGTCTTGTGACATTGCTTAATGCTGGGAGATCGTGACGAACCTGCTGAAACTCTCAGGATGACACTCGCGTAAACGTGTTCTTAATACTTAAAGAGGGACCGCACGAAATTCCTGCACACCTGGAGTGTTGATGGCTTTATCCAGATGACCTCCATCCAAGTTAACCAGCTATATCAATGCAGTTTTGTAAAACTGCTGATTGTCATTGATGGTTGCTGACTGACCCATCTGTCGCAGTATCTCATTGATCCGGGTTGATTAGTCCTCTACGGTTTTTTTTCTTTTCAGGCTACTTCCTTCGCCTGCTTCACTCACTCCCCCCCCTCTCTCTCTCTCTCTCTCTCTCTCTCTCTCTCTCTCTCTCTCTCTCTCTCTCTCTCTCTCTTCGTATGCACCCTTGCTTTACGGCAGGCGTGGATATGGTAAGATTAAGATCAATTTCGGGGCCAACTTGTTGGAAGTTTAAATGGTGTCTTATTCGATTTTTGTTTGCTTTTCTCTTGTATTTATATCAGTATGTTCGCTCGAATTGGTTCTACTGTGACTGGGGTAGCTGGGGTAGCTGGGGTAGATGGATCCCAGAAAACAAGTACTGCCAGTTCCTATCGCCTTTGCCTCTCTGGCGTAGCCCTTCTTAAATGATTTCCGTTGTCGTTTATATCTTCCAAAATCAGAGTTAATTAGTTCATTTTTCCCGACCCCGAGGGCTCCATCGAAAGACATCGCTCCAGTGGCCTAAGTGGCTAGAGCACACACGACGGATGCGGTATGTCGCAAGTTCAGTCCCGGCCGAGTCATATCAAAGACCAATAAAAAATGGCACTAGCAGCTGCCTCGCTAGGCGCTTAACATTATGAGGTTATTGTTAGGACTCGTCGGTCTGGTGCATGATAATGTGACTAGTGGGACATGAGGCTTCATGTCTGCAGCATGAGGCTCCTGTACTTGACATCTCCATTAGCTACCACCCTGCAGAAATCATAGCACATGAAAATTTTTAAAGTACGTTAAAAATGCAATGGGTATACATGTCTACTTCCCCTTAAAGAATAATCAAAAATGTACAAAATGTCTTTATTTAGTAACATCTTTTGACATGCAAATAGACGCTTGCAACCATTGATTCAGGAAACATTAATCAGGAATGCTGCATAGTCTCTCTGCCGTTAACATCTATAATTACCGGTTGTTCTGGGAGATCTTCGTATTCTGGATTCCATATAACCAGCAATGGATCTTGGTTTCTCTTGCTGTCGTTCTCTGAATAATGTAATCCATGTTCTTTCCAGTTGACTGTTAAACCTTTGTGGCCTAAAAGTAACAGAAAATTATGAAACATTCTATACTAACTATATGTGGATCGTTTGTACATGAAAATTTTAAAATATGTCTGTTACGATATAGAATACACTTAGACTACTTGTTTGTATGTATGTATGTATGTATGTATGTATGTATGTATGTATGTATGTATGTATGTATGTATGTATGTATGTATGTATGTATGTATGTATGTATGTATGTATGTATGTATGTATGTATGTATGTATGTATGTATGTATGTATGTATGTATGTATGCATGCATGCATGCATGTATCGGAAATTAAGATAAATGCAACAACAAATTATGTATGTAAATTTCTTTTTACTCGATGAGTTATTCTCAAAGGCAAAATTGCAAAATAGAGATGGATAAAACAAAAAATAAACATACGTTTGATTTACAACAACTTTTATGTTTATGGATTGAGTAGAATTATTTTTTAAAAATTTTTATATCGATTCTTACTGGTTTTGAACTCGGATGATAAATTTGCAGTCTACTTAATTTTGATCCGGTCTATCCTTTAATGAGAACCATAGCCATAGACTGGTTCCCTGATAATTCTGATAATCCAACAAGAACCATTAGCGAAGCGTTCCCACCGATATTGTGAATGTTTCAATAAAGCTAAAAGTTTACTTTTTGATCTTTCCACAAGAATAATAGAATTTGAACCCAATGCTGTTCTACTAGATTTATTTCATTGAATAAATAAGCTCTTCAGTTTTGAGGCATGGTCCCTAAATATAATAAAGAAAAGGGTGGGAGGTTCTTGTTCATAGTTCCTATTCTTGATTACACTGCTGTATCGTTTCATCATGCGGTTTGTTGCCCCCAGGGAAGAATGGTCGAAAGCGCTCACCTTTACTGGCTTCTGCATTCTTACCTCTGTGTATGAAGGTTCGAGTCTCAGGTTAGGCCAATATAGATATATGACAATTCCTGCCATTAGTAACCCGTGGGTCAGTGGTTCTTTCCGGAGCTTTCCCGGTTCTATTGAAACCAAATGTATTGTCCGCCATGTATGGCTTATCTTGCGATGGGAAATGGAGTTAAATCCAAAACAACACAAACAACACTGTGCAGTATATTAGCGTGCAGGGATGTAACGCATAAGAAGCTACCATTGTATCTCATGACAATCGTTCACTTGTTTGTCGTTTTATTTCTCATGTGAGATAATCGGTCGTATCCTTAATATAGGATAGTAGTTTTGAATAATGAAAACTACATAAATGAATTTAAGTAGACAATTGAGCAAAGCCAGGATTTACTATATCAATATAGATACCTTCATGAAGACAGTTGTAACTACATTTCTGTCGTAATATGTGTTTGTGGCAGCATATATCTCTATCATTGCTGTGGTATATCATATTCTTTCTTTAATAAAACAAATTATTGTAGTGTGCGTTTTGTGTGTGTGCGTGTTTGTGTGTGTGTGTGTGGGGTGTGTGCCAGCGACGCATTAAAAAAGACAAAATATCGTTGAATTGGTAACTATAAACTTGCAAATATTAACCCATATGCACTTGCCTGCCCTACACCCCAAATAAAAATGTTAATTGTATAGCAACCAGAGTTTACTTGGGGAAGGGGTGTGCTTTTTAAATCAATGAGCCAAAACAATCCTGTGAATCTAAAATTTTATTTCATACTTAGCAATTCAAACACAATGAAAAGAGTCCAATGACTATTACCCAAGAAAGCCAATAGATATTCAACATCTATCAATCTGGTCGCAGCCATTTTCTTTTGCTCAGATTAATAAATCGGCATTACCACAGGCAAAATCAGCAAACTTACAATCCTCGAATTGCCGATAGATGATTAATCAGTGAACGTTGCTTATTTACATGTAAAATTAAAAAAAAAAGGTTTATGGAGGGTAATTCCAAAGGTCGACGCCATTTTTAGGTCGGATAACCCCTTCCTGTTAATAACATACATTTCTAGGAATAGTACCCTAATAGCTATGAGTTTAGTAATCTGTGTGTGTGTTTGTGAGTGTGTGTGTGTGTGTGTAAAAAACTAGTCAACCATATAATGAAACCCAATCGATCTGTATTGAGTGTGAACAATAATCAAATATATCAGATTTGCCTTTAGACAGCAAATATTAAATGTGCTCTTGACAACTGGTTTGAAGGTAAGGAATTTCTTCAGAATATCATCCAAATGATGCGTGGGTAGAGGCGTTCTGGATCGAATCCTCCACAGTGGCTAAGTGATAACCGTTTCTGGTCGCGAATGAAAGGGTCTGGGTTCGAATACTGTTTAGACCAAGGATGTGCAGGCGGTGTGGAATGTGTCTGGGAAAGACTCTTTAATCAAAGTGCTTCAATGCTGTGTAAACTTCCATCTTTTGATTTGCTGTTCAACACCAGCCAATCAATGGGTCAATTGAAGCTGACAGTCGATATTTCGAACCCACGAGATTTGTTTCCAAATACCTTAGTATGGCGTGTACTGTAGTACATACAAGACTTCTAGGCGAATAATTCACATGTATGGATGGGGATTTTAATCTGCAGGTAATATTCTTGTTTGTTCCTCTGACCTACCATTTTCCGACAATTTTAATCGTCCCAGAGTACCTACAATATCTGAGTTACCATTACTGGATTCAGAGCAATCGTATAACTTTAGATATTGGTCTTCTTCCCAAGTTTCCTAAATGCTCAGACCTACCATTAATGGATTGAGCGAAATAGAATAACTTTAGAAAGTGATCTCTCCCCTTCAAGCACCAAACAGGCATGACTTACCATTTCTAGATTAGAAGTAATTACTTATCTTTATATAGTGGTTTTCATTCCCTTAGAACAAGTTTCACCTACCATTACTGGATTAGGGGTAA